CAATGCTTAGGAAGCCAGACAATCTGCTAATGAGCCCGGTGGTTGACTTTTGGAACAGAAGGTGACCTAAATCTGTCTTGCTTAGTTAAGACCCTAGTTGAACTTTTCAGGATTCCTGGCTTTCTGTTAAAGCCACGATGCAGAAGTTCACAGACAAGTAGCTTGGAATGTTGAACTCATTGTCACTTGGAACAAGGGAATTGAATACAAGATGGAGAGATCTTGGAGTCCCCAGGCTGCTGGTGGCTCACAAACCTGTAGCTGCAGTGCCCTCGTGTGGTGAAAGAAGTCCTGACACCTTGGCTGCGTGCAGTCCGGGGCTCCTTTCCCTTCCCTTCCCCAGACAGGCGCTGTGCTGGTCGCCCTCCAGCAGTGGGTTTGGCATGAGCTTCCTTTGAAGTTCCACTGTTTGAACAGGGTGTGTCGCAAGTCATAGCTCCATTTGTCACATGGTGTGACCTTTGCTTTTACAAAGCTTGCCTAGCTCCTGGGCCAACTGATTGCTTGGAACATGGAGTTTATTCCCACCAGAAGCAGTTTCCTGGTGGAGGGGCACAGGGCATCTGTGGACACCTCCGTACTGTGGCTGTGGTCATCCTGGGTGGGAGATGTCTGACTTTGAAGACCCATTTGGTACTGGGCCACCAATTGTGCTATGCCAAATCATTTCTGTAGGCCCGAAGAGGAGTGAGGTTGCCTTTGCATGTGGAGTGGATCGTGATGTCATAGCCAGTTGCCGGAGGGAAGCTTGGACAGTGCCTGTCCCTGCCCTTACTCTGCCTTCTGCAGAAACTTAGGTCCCTCTCAGGCCCGGAGAGAGTCAAAGCCACCAGCTAAGCCAGGGGGACTCTTTTCCCGACTTCTCTGCACACCGGTTAGACTCAGGATCTTCAGAAACCTCACCTGGTTGAGGTCAGTTTGCAAGGAACATCCTTTGCATCTGAGTGTAGATCAGTGGTCTTGACCCCTTTGGGGGCTGCTTATCAGATATTCTGTGTATTAGATATTTATGTTATAATTCATAACTAGCAAAATCACAGTTATGAAGTAGCAATGAAATAATTTTATGTTGGGGGTCACCACAACATGAGGAACTGTATTAAAGGGTCACAGCATTAGGAAGGTTGAGTGTAGCAGGAATCTTAAAAGTTCTTATTAATAAAATCAAACCTGGCCGGGCGGTGGTGGCGCACGCCTTTAATCCCAGCACTCGGGAGGCAGAGCCAGGTGGATCTCTGTGAGTTCGAGGCCAGCCT